ACATGATATAAAATTTTTGTACATGAGTGCTACTCACTTCTTTTGGTGCTTTGTTAATATATATTATGCTTTTTATTTAAAAAAAAAAAAAGACCAACCCAAAAAGAAAATGTGTCCTGCAATATTTTGTCAATTGTTGGTAGATGTGATTTGCGTAAGAGATGAGCTTTATTCTTAATTGGAGTCAAATTTTGATAAATGGCATCAAGAAGAGATTTGGTGAAAGAAAGCCTTTCAAATTCGTAGGGTTTGTTATAGGCGTTATTGCTTCTGGATGTTGCAACCTTTATTCACTAAAAATTCACAGGGTTGTTAATTAGAAGAAAGAGTATTTTATTCCAGATAGAATTAATTCCCAAGTTTAATGTTTTAAACTATTGAATTGAACAGCCGCATATAAATTGTTTACTCTTCTATATACGTAGCAGTAATATATATATATATATATATATATATCAGCAATATCAGTATATGCTGAACTATTTATATATGAACAGATATATATATATATATATATATTTGAGGAAAAACAATTATATATATACATGCATAACTGAATATAACAGATATGATCTTTATGTACATAGAACAGTATACATAATACATAGTAACTCTAATAAAAATTATATAAATATATATATAAACGAATACAAAAATTGGCTTAATAAATGAGTTTGCTGATGAATTGTGTAAATAAAATAAAGATATTTTTGCAAAATAAATTGCATTTCAATAAGAGTCTTATGCTACCTCAGAATCAATACACTTTTCAACAAAATATAAGTTTTATGATAATACTCCTAAAAACTAAAAAACTAAGTTATGTGCGCTAGAAAAATATTTTTGCAGACTCCTTCAGTCCACATTAATGATTATAAATTGTCTACGAATAAACACCTATAAACACATACAAATTTAGAGAAATATTTGATGAACCAGTAAGCCTTCATGCTGTTTTTGCTACACAGAAAAACGTTTTAAAATGTCATACAAATATCTTATGCATAAAACATGCATGATACATTTTCTCTAGACTAAACAGTGTCTACTGGTTGAAAATGAACAATATCCAAATTTTACAATAAAATGCAAGATGGCTTTAAAAAATATAAGCATTATATTTAACGTCTTCTGAAAAATCATTTATATACAACATCCAACTACCACAATATCATGCTTAATTATTTTTTAAAAGTTTCAACTTTCAAGTAATCGAAGGATTATCATGACGGACTCAAAATTAAATTCACCTAAATGTTGCCCCTTGTCAAAATGAATAAAAAAATCAACTGTAGCAATGTGCGTAATATGTTGTGGAGATAAACATTATGTGAGGAGAGGAGAGCAATAGCCCTAAAAATAACAAGAAAAACATACCCAATTTAAGCGCTGCTTATTCCCCCGTACGAATAGCCTCCCCAAGCAAGAGTAACAAACATCCAAATACAGGATCAAACAGTACATGTATATTTCGAATATTCTCTTCTAGAAAAGAGATATATATGTTTCAAAATCACAGATGAAAATGAAAAAAAAAAAAAAAGAATTTACTGATTCCCTCCAGTCCAAAAGTAAACAAGCCCTTCCATCCAAAATCTTACTAAAAAACTAGTTCTGCAGAACCTAGCATTCTAATATTTTGTTGTAAACATTTCACATAAAAGAAAATTACAAAATATTACAACACTAAACTCAAATCTAGTAACTAATGAAAGTTTCCTGTATTCCCAGTACCCTACCTCGTAGATTGGGGCTTGGCAATTCAACAAGAGAGATCCAGGTCAATCAACAGATACCTTTGAAGTGCTGACTTATCATAAATATCTACTAAGAAAATCAGAAATTCATAAGTGACAGACTAAATCACTTCTATAACGTTTTCTTTCACCATACAGCTTCAATGAATTAAAACCCACTTCTCATGAACCTCTTGTGATCAAGTATTGAACAGCAGCAGCAGCAAGACTTAGCATTGTACATCATTCTTCTTCTGGTGCAATTAACCATCAGTTATAGTCTTACAGCAGAATGATGCCTAAAAATTATAAAGAGTCTCTCCTTTCACCATTTGAAAGATTAACATTTAGTCCAGATCCAGGTTATGCATGTTTGCGCACAAGCATACATAGATTAGATGCACACGAATGCACATATATGAGATAAGTACACACATTGATTTTTTTTTTTTTTTTTTTTTTAACGAAAGAGAAAACTATGGAGATTCACACAACCACACTCTCCAACTGTATACTACATTATATTGAAAGAATCCAACATTTTCCATTTACAAACCCCAACTGCCTGAAATCCAAATTGCACACTTCAAACAATCATGAACTAGGTCAAACCTAATCATATAAATCCTATTTTTGGAGTTCACGTTTCAAATAATTTTAAAATATGAGCTAACACCTCTTCCTAACGAGCGGTCGATTTTTGAAACAGATATTCTTGGAAAACTAATAATGTGCCTGCAATATCAACTTACTACTACTGCTGTCATACCCAATCACAGATATTCCACGATGTTGATGGGAATTAGATGCTGTCAGTTATCCAACCACGTTGTAATAAATTAAAATGTTAACTAGGAGAAAACTCACCAATTTTAGTTCCTGCAATTTATAGGAAATTTCATAGTAGCATACTAGGCTGTCAACTAAAGAATTTCTTAAAAATTCTTCGTAGATTCTAAAACAGGTTAGCACTACCAGGTATCTGTTGATTACTCAAGGTCTCACCATTTGCCCAACTTGTAACTCAAGTCAGAGATGAGAGACTTTGTATCAGAAAATCTTGTTCAACTGCTGCAGATATTTATGTAAGGATGGAGTACAGCATCTAGGAAAATTTAGGCTGTGAAGCAGATATAGATAAAGACGCCAGAGAGGGAATCGCAAAATGTTAGAGCCCTAAACCTGCTAGGAAAAAATGGCAGTATTAAACAAAACCAGATTATTGAACAAATAACAGTATGATGACTTAAAAAAGCTAGTTCGGAACTTACCTATCTACTAGAAAGTAGATCCCCATTCAGGACCCTCCAACAGCCTTTTCTGCAATAGCTGCCTTCTGACATGGATAAAAGGTTAAAATCAGCGGTCCAAACAGCCAAATTACAAACAGTTATTTTAGTTCAGAAAATGTGCAAAATAACAGATTCCATTCTGACTTACATGCTGAATATTCACTTTGCCACTCAATTCTGGTGGAGAATTTGATACTGGTTTTGAAAACCTGTGGAGATTGGTAAATGACAGCTTTCATTGTCAAACAGATACATCGAGACTAAGTATAACTGTGCCAATGACAGAAATACACAGTCAAATGTCTAAAGTAATGCATACCTCATAGCTCTTGCTTTTCTCTTGTCTTCTTCCAGTAGACTTTCCTTGGGTTCTCCTCCAAATCTGGCAAGCCGAGCCTTCTTCTTTGCCTCTTCATCAGCAGGCACTAATGCCACAGGGAGGCCAAATCTGAGAGAGAACCGTAATTAGCAGCAATACACTAATTAAAGCCAACAAATTTATACAAGAAATATATAATGAGCTTCAAGCTGTAAAAAGGATTGAAAAAGGAAAAAATGGCAAAGGGAACCTTTCTGCTCTAGCTTTCCTCTTTTGGTCCTCTGATTTCTTGAATCCTTCTGATCCACTCGATAAAGGCCCGGTTCCAAACCTACATCAGATAAGCGCACAATAGAAAATTTTAAGCAGCAGAAAATATAAACACTGGAAGTTGAGACCATCAACATGCAATTTTTTAAACAGAAAAATATGTAATAGTTGCTCTCATTGTGTAGACACCAAATGATGTAGGAAGATTTTAGGATAAAACCTGGATATCACATCTATGCACTTCAGAAATCTTAAGCATCATGCTTAAGAGTTTTCTTCCATAACACAAAGTCAGAACGATTGAGAAAATCTTCAAAAGTGAAATAACAAAACTACTTATGATGCTTCCTAAACAATGTTTTCTTTGAAATATTAAGTATAGCTTCCCAAACAATGTTTCTCATATTGGATTGAGCTAATAAATAACAATACTAATATAATTAGGAAATGCTACTACTAAGGAAAACAGAGGTAAAAATCCTAAATAACTAATTTCCTAAATAGAACAAGATCCGGATACTAATAAAATCCTAATCTAAGCTATACTATTACCATGATTTATAGATCAGTTACAAAAAAGATTCTTAATCTACTTAGAAGATCTATTTCACATCCATTCCTGCATCATTAAACCCAGTTGGAGAAAACTAACCTCAAGTTTTGAATAATAAAAGTATTCAAATGCACAATCTTGGAGCTTTCCAAAAATTTCTGGTAAAATTTGCACTTTGTGATCCTTGTAAAAAGCAGAAGTAATGGGAACAAACAATTTTTAGGAGTATGAAATTCTGGTGATAGGATAAATAAACATACATTAAACTTGGCATATCAAGTTTCTCCTCGTACGGAAACTTTCATAGAGTTCTCTTTCAAGAAAAGATAGATTGATCTTGAAAGCTTTATATCATTAGTGTCATTGGTTCTTTTTCTTCTTGCTCCTCCAATATGGCAGATTAAATTGTACTTGTGTCCCTCTTTAGGTCCTAATCATTGAGTAATTTTTTGTTGCTTCAACACTCCTAAAGCATCTGGTTGATGGTTCCAATTTTCAAGTAGTCTTTCCTATCTCCCTTTAATTTTCATCAATTGCTCGGCTCTTGTCATTGTGTTATAGTAAGATTCTAAAACCAGATTCCTCATGCCAAGCATGAGAACAATGTCAATAAGAACAAGGTCAATGTAGAAAAATATGTTTTGAGAATTTTAAAAACTACACTGCACAGGGTTCAATCGATATAGGTACCATGATGAAAAGAAGCAAGACTTTTTTTCAAAAAATAAAAGTATAGTATATACTGTTGATTCACAAGCACCAAGGGGGTGCTTTCTAAGTATACTCTCCAAAATAAGATTAGACAAAGAAGTACTAAAATGTAAGATTATAAAGAAATACTATTACTAAGAAAAAGAAAAATTAAGACCTAAATAATTAAGCTCTTAATCAAATAGAATCATGATTCCAATAAAGTCCTAATCTACCCATACTTACAATAATTTGTAAATTAGCTACTGATAGGATCCATAATCTATTTAGAAGACCTAGTTCATGTACATTCTGCATCACAAAGTAATAAAGTTTATAAGTTCGTATTAAGTATTAACATAAACTTCATTTTTATTTTAAAAAAAGAAGGATTAATATAAACTTCAGTAGCTTATTTTTAGAACAATTGTATTAACTTATATGCTTTTGATGGTCAGCCAAAGACTGGAGCTTAAAGCTCTTGTTGACAAAAAAGAAAAACATAAGTCAAACACCCAACAATTCAGTCCTAAAATCAAGAGGCTAATACACTACAGATATCAACAGTCATCCAATGAGCTTCAATGCCTGCTAACTGTTTGGAACTTTATCTGAGATTACTACTTATTCTCAGTACATATAATTGAGAACGAAGAAAGAAACTCTGCACAATGAATCTCAGAAAGCACTCTAAATATCAATCAAGAAGCTAAAAGATAAGGATAGGCAAGAAAGAATTCCAGTCATGAAATGTAGAAAATGAATCAAAATCCTTATGCTACGTGACGAATTCAGGAAAATGTGCAAAAATCTCGAACATTATAAGAAAAACTGACATAATACGTGAAAAAAAATAAATAAAAAAAACTCTACGTACCATTATTTCCAATTTCCCAATAAATCAAACAAAAGAAAAAGCTTAATACAGAAGGAGAAGTCAGCCAAAAACCCTAACCCGCAAAATACTTCCAGAAAACACAGAACGATTTAACGGAGAAAAACAAAAATTTACCTTTCAGCTCGAGAATTGCGCTTCTCTTCCTCGGAGAGCTGCACAGGCATCCCAAACCGCTCGGCTCTTCGTATCTTCTTCTGGATATCGGATTCTTGGGCGTTATCCCCAGCGGAGCCGGCCGCAGCTACGATGATCTTCGAATCCTCGCCGTCCTTTCGCTTCCCGTCTGCCGCGGCATTAACGGTCGATAACTCAGTTTTTGACGGATCCTCTGTACGATCTGGCTTTGCCAGGGTTGGTTCCAGGGCTTTCTTAGGGTTTTGTCCTCCGCTAGGGGTTTCCTTCCTGGAGGCGGTGGTGAGTTTACCGGTATCGGTTGCCATTGGATGCAGATTACGTGAAGAGTACGAGCAAGAGCGTTTAGGTTTTCTTTTTCGCGTCCCGTAGATATTTTGATTGTGTCAGAAAATGGAACAACCAAAGAGGCACAAAAAGGGGGGGGGAAGGAGTTAGTTCTTACACGTGGCGTTGCGTGATTTGCAGTTCCCGCCAGAACGAAACGACGCCGTTTATGTAGTGAGTCATTAAACCGCACCGTTCTGTAACGTTCCAAGCAAAATCCTTACGCTGCAACGACAGCGTTTTGGGACTGGTTGAGACTCGATCACCATGACCTCATTTTTTTGCTTTCAAATGGCGACACACGCTCTTCGTGCATAGTGCTCGAACACAAAGCCATGGAATTAACTTCAGTTATCCACAGCGGCATTAAAGCTCCTATAAAATTGGATCAAGTCTTGCTCAGTATTTCGCCAATTTCGCTTTCAAAGCGGACGAAGCTTCATTTCTCTCACCTCCATAATCCTACTCTTTCTGCAGGTTTTCATACATATATATATGTACATATGTATATATATACACACGCTCATACAAATGAAAGTATATATCACTATAACTGGTGTTTGTGCATCAAATTTTCAGTTTTCCAAAATTAAGGGGTCCTTGCATTTTGAATTTGCAGTCAGGAGTGGTCGTTGCCGGCAAGTTTCTCCTCTTGGGTGCTCCAAAGGAACTGAGCAAGAAGATGTCTCTGCATCAGGTGAATTTGTTTACCGTGCAATTTTTCCTCTGTTATTTTTTTCTCTTTGTGGATTAAGGGAAATCTGTAGTTTTGATATGAACTGGCAACAATGAAATATCGAAGCCAATAGCTACTTGAACTCTGTTATTGGTTTGTAAAGCTGTGTTGTTGGTATGTGATGATATTGTATGTCACTGAACAAGGGCTCTTTGTAACTCATAGAACGCGTTTTAGGTATTGTAGCGAATTCCAGCTTAGAGGGATGTGCGTCGTCTTACTTGTTGGTTTATGGATTTGTATTATAACTGTGTGGGCTTCCTTTTCAGAACCAGAATACCATAAACACACATTTCAAAATTTTTGTAAGAAATGTGTTTCGTCCTTTCAAAAAACACTTGAATGGGTTTATTCATGCATGAATTTTACTTAGTATGAGTTGAATTTATAAAAGTCTATAATCATTGTAGTCTTTTTAGGAGACCGAGAGAAGGGGTTAATTATGGAATTGTTTTGTTTTGTGAGTTATCTAATGGAGTAAAGTTTTTTTATTGCTTGTTGACTCCTTCACCTTGGATCTGGAAAGGTTTAGAAAAATAATGCACAGTATTTTTGTTTTTCTGTATGCTTTTGATTACAATGATGTAATCGCGGGATGAAGGCACAGATTGTGAGAGGACCGGTTCTCAGTCATTGATTGACATTGACAATGTGAGCACCTCTGATACTCAGTATTCTGTAGATAGTCATGGGACAAAAGCTGAGGAACAAGAGATTTATTCATCATCGATGAGAACTGTTGCTTTATGGGTGAGTACTTCTCAGCTTTATTGGCTATTTTTGTTTTTGTGATTATCTTAAATCAAATCAATCTAGCTACTTAATCCTATAGGTGAGCACTGCTGTGGCATTTGGTGTTGGAATAGGTTTGAAAGATGGAATTGGCAAAGCGTCAGAGTTTTTTGCTGGGTATGTAGATTAACAATTTGCTGGTTTTCCCATTAACTAACTGAAGAAATATTTCTTAATTTTTATAAAGAACCAAAACTTTTTATGCTTGGAGTATTATCATCAGCTTGAACATTATTGGATCACTTCAGATATATATTGGAGCAAAGTTTGTCTGTAGACAATCTGTTCGTCTTTGTTTTGGTTTTCAAGTACTTCAAAGTGCCGCTAATGTATCAGGTGATGCATTTTTTTGCTTAATTGGAATTATGATTATATAATTTTCTGCTTCTTTGTGATATTAACTAATATTCTTTAAATGTTAAGCAAACCTTTCTATGTGAATCAATTGTAATTGAAGGTTTATATTGTTGGAAATATAGAGTCAGGTACTTTCATATGGTTTTGCTGGTGCAATCATCTTTAGGTTGTCAATAATACTTCTTGGAACAGCAACGCTTCAGGTAAATTCCTTGAAAATGCCTTTCTTAAAAAAAAAATATGGACGAGTTCTCAACTCTTTAAGCTGTTAACTTTCTGATGTTGCTGTTAGAGGTTTGAAGCGGTTAATCTGGTACTGGCTGTAATACTCCTATTTTCATCCTTCAAGGTGCATATCTCTTCTAAACTGATGTTCTCATATTACTTCAAAATTTTCTATTTTCATTTGCATATATCAGTTGGTTAGAAGTTATCTCTTGGCACTTACCTGCTGAGGCTTGGGCTATGAAGAAGCTCTTGAAGCATTCACCAATTTCACCTACTTGCATGCCATGCACTTCCTCCATAGTCACCTCTCCTGGGTCCCTGTCCCAAAAAAACAATGATGATAACAGAATAAAAAAACCCTATCCAATTACTTTCAATTATATTAATGGATCTGTCATTATTATATAATATCTTGTTTTCTTATACCTTTTTTCCTGTTTTTTATTGCTTTTGCACATTTCATTCTATGTTGATTCTTATTATTAAAATTTGTAGTTACATACTATTTTCTTTATTTTATATAGTTATTTTCCAGTGAAGAAGATGATTCTGACCTCTCAGACAACTTTATAGTGAAGATGTGTCAGAAATTTATCCCTGTGACTGGTAATGTCTGTTGTGTTCCTGTACATATGGCAATTACCATTAATTTGGTAGAACTTGTAGCAGTTCATTTTTTTTTATATTTTTTCAAGGTGGCCTTCTTGTCTAGTGTTTTCACTATTTTTAGCTGAGTCAGGGCATCCTCGCTTAATTTGAACTTATTTCAAAGAACATTAAGCCTTACTCTAATTTAACAATTCATATGTCAAAAAGATTTTGTAGAACTCAGCTCAAGTAAAGCATTAAACCTGACTGTAGGCTGAATATTCAGATTTTCAGTCAAAAGAGTTGGTAGCTTAAGAAGGTTGGCTAATCTGTTATTTAAAAAAAAAAAAAAGGTAGGCTAATCTGCAGTCTTGTTTAAAAGTTATTGTTGACTATAAAACTATCTTTGTGCTTGTTTTGCCATGTTTTCTGCTGTTTCTAGAACAAGATTTAATCATCCAGGTTAATAATTTCTCCCATGCTACTCCCTTTAGTTGAGTGTAACCTTCACTGACCTCCTCTTTACCTCTTTATATTTTTGGGTTGGTCGTTGTTTTGGTTCCTTTTAGCTTTTATGCAATCGAAACAGCTATCTGGTTCCTATTTAATTTGCTGCTTCATTTTGAGTGCCTCTGTAAAACAAGGCCAAAGCAACCTATTCTGTAATTTAAAAAGAAGCAAATGAATGAAGTAGTACGCACAGAGCTAAAATTGTTTTTGACTGCAAGACATGAAAATGAGGGAGAATTTACAGCACAGTCAAAAGATCTATGAAATCTCTAAAATCTCATCACTAATCAGATGATGACAGTTAAATGAATTGGAGGAACTAGAAGATCCTATAATTTATATATTTTAATATTATGACATATTTATGTAATTGGAATCTTTATGTATTATTGAGGGTATTTAGCTTATTTACAAGCTATTAAGATTTTCTTGTTTAATGATTCTAGTCATATGAGGCTATTTAGCCACCTTACCCAATACATAGGTAGTTCATTATTATTGAACAGATTGCTTATGGATAAAAAACAGTTGATTTTTTTCCTTAATTTTTCTACTCTTTTCAATCCTATTCTGCTGATACATCAAGTATCAGAGCTAAAATTTGTGCCTTCTGATCAAAATTTTCAAATTGCAAGAAATAAAATCCTAAATCCCATGATCAGAAACACATCCGAAAGGTAGTTGCTCAAACCACACAAAGCTGACAACATCCATCGATATTCACCAAAGATGTGGGAGCTGCCAGAGGTGGTTTCCACCACCCTGGCATCAGTCTTGGAGAAGTTTGGCATGTGCCTCTAGCAAATGTTAGCTTCAAACTCTATCAGAATAAGCCTCAGTCGTTAGCAACACCCCCGAACTGCTGCTACCTTCCTTGAATCAGCCATCCCTTTTTGCTTTAACGATCACCAAAAACCAATCCAGAATCAGCACCGCCAGACAATGCTCTAGCATGAATCTCGAAGTCAGATGATCACTGGAAGGTGGAGTGAGACTCCCATGCGCTGACCATCCTGTATAGGTATTTCTGCCTTTGAGACTTTTTTGTTGACCAGTTCATTCTGAGTTGACTAGTCTGTTTCAGATCTTTCCATACCTGTTCAAACCGTTTCTTAAGGTTTTCCAACTTGCCCTTTCACTTACTGACGGACCTTTGAGCAAATCAAAACATACAACCACATCTTGAGCTGAGTAATTATTTCAACAAGAAAGTTAGTGTTTATTCATGTCTTCAGTCAAAGTCATTTTAATGTATATTGAACCTTAGTGGCTTGGTGGATGACAATAATTTCACTTATTGAGGTACCTCTAAACAAATCACAACATATAACCACATCTTGAGCAGATTAACTATTTTGACAAGGAAGTTAATTTTTATTCATATCTTCAATCAAAGTCATTTTAGTGTATATTGAGCCTTAGTGGCTTGGTAACTGAGAGAATGAGTATGCTTTTAGCAATACCATTCAACTTTTGAATTTCTTTGTCTTCTTGACTAAGTTGAAATGTTGTTCTCAAAGATATCTCGAGAGTCATCCAAGTTAATGTGAGATGTATTTTGTCCCTTACAAAAACGCATTGCTCGCCAAGCAACTTCTTAATTACTCAAATTGATGAAAACTTGAACTTGCATCCTACATTTGTTTGCTAATTAGAGTCATTGTGTCTGATCTCCCATATGGTGATGCACATATGAAGAAAAGTTTTTGAGCTAATTTTCTCTAAATTTGAAATATTAGGTGACAAGACGAGGCAATCACATGTCAAAAAGATCTTAGTCTTGAAAGAGTTGCAGGACTTAGAGTATATCTACTAATGATAGATCTTGATTGTAAAGGATTAATTGTAGAAACATTTCCGGAAAATAGCTCTGGACGTATTGGAGTGAGGAGAGAAGATTATGGCAAAAATTTGTGGATTCCCGGTGGGGCAGATTAAGGCTGGAAAACGGGAGTATTAGACATTCTTCTTCCCATGGATGTGGTCTTTGGAAGAAGATAATGGCTCAATGGCCACAGTTCA